ACTCCAGGGCAGGACATGTGAAAACTCAGGGTACTGCCCAATCAGTGAGGTCTGTGCCAGCACCAAGGGGCCACACTCCAGGGCAGGACATGTGAAAACTAAGGGTACTGCTCAATCAGTGAGGTCTGTGCCAGCACCGAGGGGCCATACTCCAGGGCAGGACATGTGAAAACTCAGGGTACTGCTCAATCAGTGAGGTCTGTTACCAGCACCAAGGGGCCACTCTCCTGGGCAGGACATGTGAAAACTCAGGGTACTGCTCAATCAGTGAGGTCTGTGCCAGCGCCAAGGGGTCATACTCCAGGGCAGGACATGTGAAAACTCAGGGTACTGCCCAAGAACTCACTTTATGTACAGGCTGGATCAGGCTTGTCAGCAATGCCAAAGAAATGCTTTTGAAACGTGAAAGTTTAAGTAGTAAATCCTAAATTTGGACCATTAAAAAATAAAGTCTACAATGCAACCTGACATGCCAAATATATAATAGTCCTCACTGAGCAAAGGGCATGAAAGATCATGTTTCACAAGCAGGTTTACAAAAATGATTCCTTTCAGAAAAATCATGACTGTAGAATTAAACCAATATTTATGCTGATGAAGAATAGCAAAGCAGCTGTTCTTTAAGTTATACTTTCTACCTGGATGTTGCTAATCACTGCTGGTGGTATCTTAAAAAACGAATTTACACTGGTGATTGGGAAGCAGATGGAAACCTACCGTCCACCCACCATCTGTGATGAAAATGCAAACGGCCCCTCCAGCAGCCCAGTTCCCTTTACCAGGGCCCCGGGCGTTCGCAGGAGGGGCTCTGCTCCCTGCAGGGAACGCCCGCGCCTGCTACCTCAAACCCACCAGTACCTTGATGTACTCGCTCCAGTGCTGCAGCAGCGCCTGCTGCCCGCCCCTCACCCGGCTGAACAGCTGGTACATCTGTGCGAGGTCCGGCACTCTGTTCTCATCCAGTAAGTGATCAAGCCCTGAGATGTGTAGGACACGTCAGCAGAGTACAGCAAGGGCAGCATTAACCACAACTAAACTAGAATTCGGTGTGCACCACACTGAATACGCCGCTTAGAAATCGGGCGGGTATATGTATCACAGCCTCTATATGGGCAGCTTGATCTGGGTAAATATCTGCAGTGGATCCTATTAGGTGAACCTCATTTTTTCTGAGTATGTTGGAAGATGTATTATTTACTTCTTCATGTCACTAAAGCCTTCTTATTTCACTAAAGTTAGCAATGGTCAGAAAATCCAGTTTATGCCAACTATTTAACCCGGGAAGTTTATGTTCCCAAGTAACTTCTGATTTGGTCCATCAGACAGAAGATGTATTTGTTAGTGGACAAGCTATCAACTCTCATTTACAGTGGATCAAACTTATTCATACCTATAGTAAACTATAAGGGAAAAACATCATCAGATATTTTGAAGTGCATTTTTTTTTTTTTTTTTGA